AATAACTAAGGCCTCTCCCCTCAGAGAACTTGTAGTCTACTGAGGGGATAGATATTAAATACACACACATAAATATATCAACATAAATGTATATATATATGAAGACTTTCTGAACAAAGGATATTTAAATTGAGACAGGGATAAACTGGAGATAGCCAAGCGAGATAGGGACAAGGGAGAAGTATTCCATGCTAGGAAACAGCCAGTGCAAAGGCTGGGGGTCCAGGGGTAGAGCCTTTGACAAACTGAAAGAAGTCCTAGTTGAACAGGGAGAATGACACAAGATGAGGCAAGTGTGATAAGCACAGGAGAAATCATGAAGTCTTCATAGGAAATGATAAGAATTTTAGATTTTACCCAAAGTGCAATAGAAGCCTTTAAAGACTGCTTTTTTATTTTGTTATTCTTGATTACTAATCATACTATAGATAATACATACAATCTTAAAATACATCATTTCAATAAGTTCATCTTCACTTAGAAAATCTGGTTGTTACATGTAAAATATAGCTTTTTAAAACTTTCATTTAAAAATAAAAATCTATGAAAATCTTTAAAATCTGTGACAGTGGAAATTATAAAAGTTGATGCTAAAAATTCTACTTTCACATAACATGTCTTAAAATATTATAAAAAATACTCTTTACTCTGAAAGCAATGTCAGGAAAAAAACATGAGTTCCTTCAAAACCACTACTTTTAATTATCCAGTTGCTGTCTCGGACAAGACAAGAACCACTTTTTTTTAAATCCTCACCTGAGGATATGTTTATTGATTTTAGAGAGAGAGGAAAGGAGAGAGAAAGAGAGAGAAACATTGATTTGTTGTTCCACCTATTTATGCATTCATTGGTTGTTTCTTGTATATGCCCTGGTAGGGAATTGAACCCTCAATCTTGATGTATCCCAACAACGCTCTAACCAACTGAGCTACCTGGCCAAGGCCATGAATGTATTTCTTAATGCAACTAAAACTTCCTGCATATGTTAAGCAAGATTTTTAAAGTATATATAATATACATACATATGTGTATATGTGTTTGAGAAACATAACAGAAAGAAAATTTCTTTTAAGACAGTTAAGGAAACCAAAAAATTGAGAGATTAAATTACTAAATATCAGAGGCCAGATTCTTTTTCACTTTCCATCAATAACTTCAGCAAAAGCCATCTGACCTTTCCTTTCAATATTCTCTGAACTTTCCTGCAAAAATCCTCTAGAAAGGCACCATGAAGTGTTTGGGGGTTTGTTCCTCCCCTTTTAAAAACAATTAAAATTGCATACTGACAATAACATGGGCAAATCTCAAGCCGATTTGCCATCAAGTTCAAGCATGTGGGCTTGCATTCATTCACCTACCCGTCTGTGTCTCTAACTTCAACACCTTCAGTAATCCATCTTCGCCCCCACACGCGATGAATCCTTGGTCCTTGTTCCAAGAGATACATTTCAGCTTCACGTTATTGGGAATGGCGATCTGAAAAGCAACCAGAGCCGCTCACAACTTCTTACGAAGGAGGTGAAAAGTGAGTCTACGGGAGCTCCAAGGCTGAAGAAAATCCCCCCAAGAACATGGGCGTGGTCCCTGAACTGTGCTGGGCGCTACCCGTGGGGAAAGAGAGAGAGACGTGCCCACCAACAAGGGCACACACAGCAGAGGAGCCCAACGCGGGAGTCGCCTGGTGGGTTTTTAAAAGGAGACGGAGATGGCAATGCATCCCCTCCGTCCGCGTTCCCTTTCCACGCACACACCTAGGCTACCCTTTTGCAATTCTTCTCTTCCCCGGAGGCCCATGATGGCCCAAAGAATCTAAGTCACCTGGATCAGCAGCAGGTGGGGAAGCCGCGCTGGGGAAGCACCCACTGATCTGTCCCGCTGGCCCCGCTAAAGAACCCCGCCTGGGGCCGCCCTGGCAGAGAGTCGCACGGGAGGGCGGCTGGGCGCGCCCGGGACGCTCTGGGGACCGGCGGGAGGAGGTCCGATGCGGGACCAGGAGGGATGCAGGAGCCGAGACACAGACAGATGCGGGCAGAGGCGGGGACGGAGAAGCGCGGGCGCCCCCGGAACACTCACTCTCTTGCTCAGATAAAAGAACATCCTGGAGGCCCGAGGGCACGACCCCAGCAGCCACGGCCCGCCGCCGGGAACTCTTTCTGGAGTCGCTAATTGCCAGGACCAGCGGCTCTTGGAAGCTCCCGTTGCCCTGGCAACCGGTCGCATCCGGGGCGCCGGGGGACACTTCCGGCGTCGGGCACGCGTCGCCCAGAGGGCGTTGTGCGCCTGCGCGGGCGTCGTGGGGCCGGTGGGAGTCGCTGTCTCGGGGCCGAAGCTGTCACTGGGGCTTGAGGGCTTGTTGCTCCCCCTGAAGGCCTGGTCGCCCCCCCTCGGCGCCTGGCCCCGGGCCTCAGGTGCCCTCGGTCCCCGCACCACCTCGGATGGCGCTGGGAAAATCGCGTGCGTGTCAGGCAGGGTCCATTGAGCAGGAAAGGCGCCCGGTCAGTGTTTGAGTGTTTCGTGAGCCCCAAAGCCCAGCATCGTGGGAAGGGAAACGTCATTAGTTGCCTCGGGTAGGTTGGCGCCTTCGGGCAAATGAAATTGCAAACATGCGTTTTCCAAAGGTTGCAAACCTTCCCTTGGGCCTTTGGGGATTCGCGAACTCCCTGGAGCGATTTGGAGGTTGGAGTGTGTGTGTGTTCGTTCTGCTGATTCAGAACTTTTTAACAGCGTATTTAAGCTGTTACTGAAGCCCAAGGGTCCCTATAAAAATAGGTATGGGCTTTGGGCCACTGCCGCATATAATCGCCATTGGAGCATAGCCCTCATTTTCAAATAATTGCGGCATTTGCTATTTTCTCGCCTGGAGGCCACTGTTCAGTATTCTCTTCTTTCTACTTTATTCCTTTCTTCAGTTCTCCTTGGTGCTTTTTGGATCCCTGGAAAGTTACAAAGCACCGCCATTTGGGCCATAGAGCCAAAACTCTCATGAAATTATTGCCTCAGACATGTCTTCCTCCTTTGGTTTTCCCTTTTACCACGTTCTGCGGCTACTGATTTGTTGACTTGTATAATCTAGCATGTACTGTATGCAACAGTAGCCAGTTTCAGGCAAATACGTGCAATCCTTCACCTGAGTCTGTGGCCTCGCCCAGCGTACTCATGAATTGACAATGGCCCCAGCCTGGGTGGCTCAGTGGTTGAGCATCACCTCTGAACCAGGAGGTCACTGTTTGATTCCTGGTTCAATTCCAGGTTTGATGCCTGGGTTGTGGGCGTGCAGGAGGCAGCCAATCAATGGTTCTCTCTTATCATTAATGTTTCTATCTCCCTCTCCCTTCCTCTCTGAAATCAATAAAAAATATATTTAAAAATAAAGAATTGACAGTTGTCCTGCTGCCTTTCTATCAAATCTAAACTCTGGCTAACATCAGATCTCCCTCCTAAATCTTTCCTATGGCCCTACTCTAAGCAAGCCAATATGCTTTCTGCACCCCACCATTCCTCTCTGCTTCTAAGGCCATTTTATATATATCCAATGATGTTCCCACCCTCTTGGCCAAAGGCATTGATCTTTCTCGGGTCTTCCTGAGAAATTCTTTCCAAACTTAACCCCCACCCCATTCAGATAATATGTGTTTTCGAATGTATGGGTATCTGTTTTTTCAGCACCAAACTGTAAATTCCTAAGATATGTTGGCACCTTCTCACGGGCTCCCTATACTGGACTCATGAATCAAGTGAGTATTATCTAAGCCAGGGGGATTTAAGACATGATTAATCGAAGCTAGTTACTAAGGTCACACTCTTGAAAAATCATATCTAAATACTTTTCCTTAGTTCTTGAACATGAATTCTCATTTATTCCTTCTATAGCATCATTGCTCTGTGATATCTATATATATAAACAGCTAATATGCAAAGTGTCCCCTTGGGAGTTTGACCCGGAGACCAATCGCTCACTATGACATGAGTTAACCACCAGGGGGCGGTGCAGAACAAAGGACGGCTCCGGCCAGCAGTCAGAAGACCTCAATTGGCCTTGATGGCCAGCCAGGCCTAGAGACCCTACCTATGCACGAATTTCGTGCACCGGGCCTCTAGTATTAATATATTACTGATCCTGTGTTCAAATATGTTTGGAAAATAATACTGCTCTATGTCATGTCCTTCCAAAAATGTTGAGAAATAACAATATATGTTTCATAAAATATATACTGCCTTGACATGTTTACTTTTCGTTTATTCCCATTTATTCCCTTTGAAGTTTGTATTTTAGATTTTTTTACTGTTTCTAGGTTTTGACTGTTTCTGTAGGGAATTGCAGTGCTATTTACAATAGCCAGGATTTAGAAGCAGCCCAAGTGCCCATCAGTAGAATAGATTAAAAAAAAAAAAAAAAGCTGTGGTACCTTTACACAACCATGAAAAAAAAAAAAAGGAAATCTTACCTTTTGCCACAGCATGGATGGATCTGGGGAGTATTATGCTAAGTGAAATAAGCCAGTCAGAGAAAGACAAGTACCATATGATTTCACTTGCATGTGGAATCTAATGGCCAAAACAACCTTACAAAACACGAAGGACAGCCTGACAGCTGTCAGAAGGGATGGGAGTTGGGAGGCTGGGTGAAATAGGTGAAGGGATTAAGAAAAAAAACCTCATAGACACAGACAACAATATGGTGATGACCTGAGGGGAAGGGAGGTAGGGTCAGGTATAAGAGGGTAAAGGGGGGATACATGGTGACAAAAGGAGACCTGACACTGGGTGGTGAACACACAATGTACAGATAATGTATCATAAAACTGTACACTTGAAACCTCTATAAATGTATTAACCAATGTTACCCCAATAAATTCAATATTTTAAAAAACAAACAGAATTTTAAAATGTACATTTATAAAGGAAGAGCACTGGGAAAAAATAGCAAACTGTTAGTAGTTTTGTACAGGTGATTTTTATTCTTTATATATTATACATTTAAAAATATCTGTGATGAATATATAATATGAATATAATTATAGAAATAACATACTTGTGTTTGAGAATAGAATGAGAACTTAGGAACTGAAAAAAAAAATGAAATGGCTCAATTAGTAAAGAAAGAAATATTAAACTTTTCATTCTATTTCCTACCAACCATTTCATAGTCATAACTTAAAGACACTAAAGTTTGCATTAAATTAAGGATCTGGACATTTATTCCCTTAGAAAAATAATACTGATTCTCCAGAAGATTCTCAAACTATGTCTCCACTAATTCAAGCATTTTAATGGCAGATAATTAGCACCATTGGAACATACAGAAGTATTAAATACAGTAAGTTCTTTATATTTCCAGGTGAAACTTTTGAGCAGTTTTAGAGATCATTTATATTGATGATCGATCGGCTGCCTTATACCCCCTAGTGGGGATTCTAAAACCTGGGCATGTACCCTGACTGGAATCGAACCGGTGACCTTTTGATGGATTGGATGATGGTCAACCAACTGAGCCACACTGGCCAGGGTGAAAATTTTGAGCAGCTTAATGATGTATTTGTCCATATTCATTTGCTTGCAACTTCTCCAAAATGTCATCAAGTGGTTTGTTGTTAAGGCCAACACCATTTATTTTGACATTAGAAAACATACACACACTTTCAAACACTTCAATACAAAATAAAAGAAAATAATTACATTCCATTGTAAATAAATAAAAAGTAAAAATGTTTTCTCAAGTCTAATGTAATCTAAAACTCAGAAGTTCTTTTTTTAGAAAGCATGATATAAAGCAGTAGTCTTCAAACATTTGTGCTCATATGCCCCCTAAAATATTTAACAAATAAGTGGTGTCAAGGACACTTATGTAATACCCTTTGTAATACTTTTAGCGAAAAATAAAAATAAAAAAAAAACAAATAAGTGGTGTCTTGTGCATATTTAAGTTATATGAAAATTTTCATAAGTTTTAGTTACAAAATACACTAGTATAATTTATGCTGTTATAAATATTGACTTTCTAAAATGAAATTTAAATCAATCTTTCAAATGTATCCCATGTAACATTAAAAGCATACTAGATTGATACCTAGTATTCTTCTAAAATAAAATATTTAAAACAAAAGAATTTGTATTTCCTTTCTACTTTCTTCACAGAATTTTATTCTACTTTGAATCTCAGAAATCTTGTTTTCTAATATATTTTTATTGATTTTTTACAGAGAGGAAGGGAGAGGAATAGAGAGTTAGAAACATAATCAGCTGCCTCCTGCACACCTCCTACTGGGGATGTGCCCGCAACCAAGGTACATGCACTTGACCGGAATCGAACCTGGTACCTTTCAGTCTGCAGGCTGACAGTCTATCCACTGAGCCAAACCAGTCAGGGCTCAGAAATCTTTTCTTTCTTTTTTTTTTTAAATATATTTTATTGATTTTTTACAGAGAGGAAGGGAGAGGGATAGAGAGTTAGAAACATTGATGAGAGAGAAACATCGATCAGCTGCCTCCTGCATGCCCCCCACTGGGGATGTGCCCGCAACCAAGGTACATGCCCTTGACCGGAATCGAACCTGGGACCCTTCAGTCCACAGGCCGACGCTCTATCCACTGAGCCAAACCAGTCAGGGCAGAAATCTTTTCTTGATCACTCTATTATACTTCTCTGAAGTAAACTTACACAAGCAAGCACACACATTTATATTGAAATTACCTTTCAATTAAATTTCTTTGACCATAAGGCCCCAATTTTTTTTAATCATCTGGATTGAATTATCAATACAGCTATTATGAGCACATAATGGATCCAAACAACTAAGGTATAAATTTTTACATAAAACCATTACAAATAAAAGGTAAAATTTAATTGGAAAGGTATCTCTTAATGGTATGGATTGGGGTGGGGGGAATCGTGTTTATGAAGCCTTGGTTTAAAAATCTGTTGAATTGCCCCTTTGTTTGAATCTTTTCGAAGAAATGCACCTTAGAAAGATTCACGCTACATGAGAGGTTTATGTAAAGTTAGGGGAATGGGAATACGGAGGTGAGAGAGAGGAAAAGAGAATGCCAACTCGCCCCAAGTAGCATCTTAGGCAGATCAACTTAAGGAAGTGAAGGATTTGGAAACTGATCCTTTATAAAGTCCTGTCTGCCACCCCTTCACTCCCCCACACACGTCCACTGTACCCCTGGAAAGTCTCTGCTCCCACCTCGGGGATCCCCGTCACAATTTGAATGCCACTCCTCTAAGATCCCTAGGAACAGCATTGCTAAGTTGAGCCGCGCTAAACAAGTAATTTCCCTGAATCACAACTTCGACTAAAGAGCTGATCTTGAAAGTTTCTGACATGGTAACATGGTACATTTCAAATCTGCTTTTTGACGGCTTGGCTAGCCGGTGTTACAGCTGTGTGTTATCTGAGCGATCACACCCCATGAATCAGCTGACTCATTCTATGCATGGCCAGATTCCTAAGAAGCCATATAAGGGCGTCATAGCATGATAGCTGGATCTGTGAAGAAGAGCTCAATTGGGAGCAGAGACCGCTATGGAAAAACACTAGAGAAAGAAACAGGTAGCTTTTCCATGTCAATGTTAAATGGGTGAAATGGTCTCTTAAAACGTTTCAAAGAAACTCTCAGTTTACAAAATGAACGCTGTGCAGTATTACTATTGCTCATCTTAAAACTTAATAGAGAGGGCCCTCATCCTGTGAAATATCCTAAAATGTTTGGCTCATTGTCGTACCTAGGTAGGCTTTAAGCAGAAAAGCTCCCAGAAAGGATATTCTTGGTGTTCAGTCTCTGCAGATACGAGATGACCTTGTTCTGGAATGTCAGTGTGGCTTCGCACCCACAAGCGTCTCTTATGGAGGTGAGTCTTGCTGCTTCTTGAACGGCTGATGACAATGACAGGACACGAAATGCTATGGTTAATTAGAAATCATAGCAAGTCTGGAAATCCATGACTCGATAGTTCCATTTTTAGGACTTACCTAAATGCATTTTCTGGAAGGTAAAAGGATATGGGAGTACACACAAAGCGGACAGAACACTTTGGAATGTTAATGAACAGAAGAAACTGAATTAGGAAATGCTGGGGACAAATCTACAATTGTCGAAGCTGGGTGATGGTTATATGTGAGCTCATTATATTTTTCTCTATACTTTTGTGATTGCCTGAAATTCTCCATGATATAAAGTAAATTTTTAAAAAGATAGTGTAGTGGGAAGCCAAGAACGCAGAGCTAAGACAACTAATCTTGTGATACTGTGTCCTCATTAAAAAATGAAAACGGGGAAAAACCTCTACTTGTGCAGCCAAAATACTTCAAGGTTTAAAACTAGATAATTCCTGATTTCCTATGTGGGCTATTATTCTATTGAATTGTTTAAAATGAGAGTTCTTACCCATAAATACTTCGGGTTTGGGTGGTTTTTTTAAAATCTTTATTGTTGAAAGTATTACATATACCCCCTTTCTCCCCCATTGGCCCCTTCCAGCATGCACCCAGCCCCCAGCCCCCCACCCCATAAATACTTTGGAACTAAAGTTGCATTGACATTTAATCGAAGAACCTGGGAGAAGGATAATGCTAACTCCTGTTTCTTTCTGTAGTTCAGTGAGGCAGCTATTCCTACTCAATCTCATAGCCTCTGAAATTGCCTAATAGAAATAAGAATAACCTCCCAGGTCTGAAGTGTGACCTTGCAATGGAGTAGAACTACTGCCTGAGGAAGGCAGTGGGCCTTTGCTTACATGTTCTCCCACATTCTACAAAGATATGATATAGGGCTGGGGGACCAAAACACGCTTGATTAAATAGAATCTACCTACCTGTCCAAACCCTATCGAACCTTATAGGGAAGGCCAGCTCAAATCCCATCTCAATCAATAAGTAAACCAGAAGGTAGTTACTGGATGCAGTACAACCCCGTCCAGCATCGCGATAGAGTATAAAATTGGTACTTAGGATACTTTTTCAGTGTATGTTGCCTGAGAGACTATAAGCTCTGTGAGGGCAGGGGCTCCGTGGGATGTTCTAATTAACAGATCCCACAGAAAACCGGACAACTTCGATGTAGCACAATTGAAAGTTGAGAGATGGACTCATTTACAATAGCAGCAAAAAGAATAAAAGATTTAGGAGTAAATTTGACAAAAGAAGTGCAAGACTTGTACACTGCTCACTACAAAACATTGGTTTCTCTCCAGTTCCTTCCTCAAGACCTAACAGTACCTGACATGTAACAGCAGCTCCATGAACAGCTGCTGAACAAATAACTCAGTGAATGACTGGGCAAATGAGGTCAGAGCCTAAACCGTTATAAATCAAGTCGGAATCCCATTTTCCAGGAGTAAAAAAAAAAAATGCCCAAGCATGATTTTGCTTTTTAATTTGAGAGAAAGAGAGAGGGGATGGAACCAGATCATGGGAGGAGTAGAATTATTTCATTCTGATGCCAAGTGGGAACCCCTGGAGAATTCCAACAGGAAGAATGTACCTCAGACTTTGAGAGAGAAGAGCTTACTCCTAGGTTGTCCCCCCAAATGAAATAGGATTAAAGGGCCAGTCTTTACCTGAACACGTCTTCTTGTCTTCATTCAGGGTGAAGCCAGTATGACAGTCGCAGTGGTAGGACGCGGCCCCATCACTCACACAAATGTGCTGGCAACCGTGAGAGCCCAGAGCACACTTGTCAAGAACTGACCAGGAAGAGAAACAGTCACAAATTACAACGGGAAACTAAGCGCAGACTTCTGGGAGAAAAGGCTTTGGTTTGGTCCCAACAGGTGTCATCAGCAACAAGTCTCCCCTGTTCCAGAAGAAGAAAGCCTACTTTCTTTTTTCTTTTTTTTTTAAATATATTTTATTGATTTTTTACAGAGAGGAAGGGAAAGAGATAGAGAGTTAGAAACATCGATGAGAGAGAAACATCGATCAGCTGCCTCCTGCACATCTCCCACTGGGGATGTGCCCGCAACCCAGGTACATGCCCTTGACCGGAATCAAACCTGGGACCTTTCAGTCCGCAGGCCGACACTCTATCCACTGAGCCAAACCGGTTTCGGCGAAAGCCTACTTTCTTGTCTCATATCTCACATCCCCTCACCTGCCTTTTATTGCATACAACCCTTTCCTTTTTTTTTCTTGCCCATATCTGGGGGTGCTGCTCTGTTTTCCTACCCGCAGCACTGGGGCTGCACTGAGTCTTGATTATATTCCAGAACTCACCTTCAGAACTTTACTGATGACCACCAATGCCTCCAAACATACATGGAGCTTCTTCACCACCACTAAATTATTATTAGGGACCCACCTACACATGGAGCTAAATTTGATGCTGCGCAAAAAGGACTCGAATGACGGAGGGCCTGCCTTTGATGGCTTACAAAGTGGGACAGAAAGCACTGACCTGCGCGCGCGCGCGCACACACACACACACACACACATACACACACACACACGCACACACACACACGATGATGGCATGTACGAGTCCGCCATCTTGTCTTTCTCTTCTACCTCCCGTTGCTATCTTGTGCCCTGCACCATGAGACAGTATAGCTTCGTGTTATGAGCACATGTATCCCCGAGCAAGTACGTGGGTTCAAATCCTGGCTCTGCTACTCATTAGCTGGGTGACTGTGGACAAGTTAATCTGCCTGTCCTGTTTAGTGGGCGTATTCCAGGAGTAGTCCGCCTAGATTGAAAATTGCCTTTGATGTTTTGTGGGTTTTCTTCAATAAAATGTTCCTTCGTTCCACACCTGTTAGCTGAAATGTAAATTTGTTTTTGTGTCCTTTTCCCAGGACTTCAATGTTCCTGGCAGCTTACAGTACCAAGTGGGATACTTGCCACGAATTGAGAAGTGCACCCCACCTGACAGCCCTACTGCCCTGAACAAGCCAGCACAAGCCAGTCCCCTTGCCTGTTCCATCTCTCCACCCGTCCATCGAACTGTCACCATCCTCCAAGGCCCACCACCAGTCCCACCACCTCTGTGCCGCTCATGTGGACGGGAAAGGGGCCACATACTAAACCTGACAAGCTCAGGGGAGGCCTGTGTGGTGGCCTTCCATACTCAGAGATGGAAAGTAACCACATAGGAAGGTCTGAAATTAAAACTTTCTAACTAAAAGCAGTTCAAGGCAGGTAGTCATGTCCTAGGGCAGTATTTTTCCCAACAAAGGTCAACCTTCACCTTAACTGAGGCTGTCCTTGTCTTTTTGAATGGAAGATAATATGCCTGATAGCATGCCTTTGGAATATCAAAGTAATTCTTTTTTCCAGACCCCTCAAAGCACAACCACTGCACCAGAGTGGAGATCACAAATCCCCATTGTTATTATCATGCTAATGTTACTATCCTATACCCGCCTATGGAAAAGAAGTATGTGTCTATTCCTTTTACTTTTATCCAAACCCAGAGATTTCCCCACTTTGCATTCTCCAGCCTCCCTAATCTATCACCACTGGATTTCATGTAACTCCCTTACATCTTCCGATTCTAATGTGTAAGGTAAGTGGTAAACCCTGGCTGGTGTGGCTCAGTTGGTTGAGCGTCATCCCATGCACTGAAGAGTCACCAGTTTGATTCCTGGTCAGGGCACATACTCAGGTTGCCTTCATATTCAGGAGACAACTGATCAATGTTTCTCTCATACATCGATGTCTGTCTGTCTCTCTCTGTCAAATCAATTTTTTTAAGTGGTAAAACTGCCATTTTCTGGAGCATTTTCTCTATACATTGAGATTCTGCTTCCCAGCAATTGTCAGTTTGGCTCAAATAAACTCATAAAAATTCTTACAGGTTTGGACGTTTCTTACGTTGACACTCACTAGAGATAACAAGTGAACATGCCCTCCATCCCCGGCCCTTAGTTCCCATCAATCCCTCTCCCGGCTACTTAGTCTCTGCTTACTTTAGACATTGGGTCTCTTTGCCCGTAAAGAGAGGCAGAAACTTATGCTTTATATCGCACAGTGCTTAGCAGTCCTGGGGACAAAATAGGTGCTCAGTTCTCTTTCATTGATCCCATTTTTTTACAGAGGAAATTGGTGATAGCCATTTCCCTTCATCCCTCTTGTAAAGGTCACCCAATATATCTCCTCAAGGGAGAGGAAACTATACATCAAATCTAAAAAAATGTGCCAGAACTAAACACCACCTGGAGAGCTAGGAGTTTCTCCTAGGAGTGTTTTTACATTATAAATGCCACTGTGTTCTGCCAGTGCGTTTAAATCAAGTTAATGAGGATTCGAGTTCGGGCATGGGCGCGCTAGCCAAGTCTCAGATGCTTCGAAGATTGATCATCTAGAAAGTGTCAGGGAACGACCTGCCGCAAACTTACTGGAAGATCCGTGTGGGTCTCATTCAGTCGTTTACAAAGTCTCCTTTACTAACACGATCCAGCTTTAAGATTAACGCCACAGGAGAGTTCAAAGCCAAGTTTTAATTGGAAAAAGATCAGTTCAGCCTATCACACCAAATAGTTCCTGTCCAACTGACTTCCTCTAAGGTTTCCCATTTGCTTTACAAGCCCCCAGTGTACGAGCTACAAAATGTTCCTGGATAAGGACCCTCCATTCACGGAGCTTTCCTCATATCCCCCACTCCCGACCCATTGCCCAGTCACTTTCTGAAGTCATCCATGTTTGCTGATTCTGCTGAGCTCACTGCCCTCTAAGCGACGCATGCCTAAGTCTGTGAGCATAGTAGAATGTCTGAAGCCTGACTCTTTAAGTTGCCTTGAAGAATCTCTCTCTTGGGAAATTGCAAGTTGGTTTCCCTGCCATAGAAAGGAGCCAAGTGTGAAAGAGTTTGTTGAGTGTGCCTTACCTGAGCAGGTTTTGTTATCTTGACTCAGGGTGTAGCCCTCGTAGCATTCACAGTGATGGGACCCAGCTCCGTCGTTCACACAAATGTGCTGACAGCCATGTGTCCCTAGAGCACATTGATCTTGAGCTGCCAGACAAAAGCCCAGGAGAGAAGAAATTCAACAATATAAAAACATTCGCTATATTACGTGTATACAGACATCTCATTTGCAGCTAGAACATGTCAGAAGCAAACCCCTTTCAAAGGTATCAGTTCCATTTGCTCTTACAGGAAGCCAGCTGAGTTCAACAAAATCCGACACACACAGTACTCATTCTTCTACTTTCCCAACTCCTTTTCAGAACCATCTATATTGGATTTTTATAATCTAAATATATCATAAAATGCTTTCTAAAGCATTCCTTTTAGGTTTATTTGTACTTTTACTGAATGAGAGCAATACCAACAGTTGGGTAGCTACCTATACTAGATTCAGAAAGACATAGAGTTTGAAGAAAGTGTAGTTCAACCCTCGCCCGTTATAAGTGAGGAAACTGAGTCCAAAGGAGACCCACTGACTCAGAACAGCATCAGAACTCAAGACCCAAATGCACTCAATGCACTTCTTCTCTGAACTGCCATGAGATTTTTTAATTACTTTTTCTTTCTAAACTTTTCACTTTGAAATAATTTCAGGCGTATGAAAAAGCTGCAAAAATGGAACAGAGAGGTCCTGTTCTTCATCCAGTTTCCCCAAATGTTAACATATTACATAATCATAGTGTAATTATCAAAACTGATACAATACTATTAACTAATCTACAGATCAGTTCATTATTAACCTAACTAAGCATTCACATTTTGCCAATTATTCCACCGATGTCCTTTCTCTGGCCCAGGATCCCACATTGCATTAAGTTGTCCCGTCTCTAGTCTCCTCCAATCTGTAATATTTCCTGCCTTTCGTTGTCTTTCATGACTCTGACACTTTGTAGGGTATCTCTCATTCTGGGTTTGTCTGATGTTTCCTCGTGATTCTGAAATTTTAGCAAGAATACCACAGACGCGCTCTGTGCCCTCAGGACACGGTGTCAGGAGATGCACGATGTCACTCTATGTCCCTGTTGTGGATGTTAACTTGGATCACTTGGCGACACTGGTGTCCGCCAGGTTTCCCCACGATGACGTTACTATTTCCCCTTTGTAAGTGATGAATATCCTGAAGGGGTGTTATTTGATTTCAACTGACTACATTGTCTTTAGCATTTGGAAAGGACTGTTAGGGCTGGCACAGAGAAGGAATGAACAACACTCTTCCACATGTGGGCCGCGATACATACATACGGCCTTTTCTACGTTTTCTAACAAGACCTAGAAGTGGGAAAAGCCAGGGTGGCAAGAGAGGAAAACAGATGAAGTTTCCCATCAGTGTGACCCGCCCTCCACCATGGCTCACAGCGCCAGGCAGCAGTGGAGCCTCTTTCCCGCGTACCTGCACACGCTTTCCTGTCTTCCTTCAAAGTGTAACCTTCGTGGCACTCACAGTGGTAAGAGCCAGCTCTGTCGTTCACACAGATGTGCTCACATCCATGAGTGTTCAGAGCACACTTATCGATGGCTATCAGAAATGGTCAGGACACATGTTAACACATGGAAGCGTGAATCAATAATTACAGACCAGACACAGATGCATGCATACACACATGCACACACACATGCACACGCATGCACATACACACGCACGCACACACAGCTGAGGGCAGCTCGGCACAATAGGAAGGCTACAGGGCTGGAAGCTGGGAACCAACTTTCTGGTCTCGGCTCTTTACTCACAGACCCCAGGCATGGGTGAGTCTCCCTTCTTTGGGTCTTAATTCATTATCTTTAAAATAAATAAGTTGAATGAAATGATCTCTAAGTTTTCTTCCCCTCAAAAACTTCTTCCCAGGATTTAAGTGGGCCTAGATCCCCTTCTTCATTGCCTGCGTGTGAGGATTCCCATTCCAGAGGAGCGAGGCCCTCTCTACGTTTTCTTCGAGATCCCATGAGCATCTACGGCCACAGAGAGGAAAGGGTAGCTTTTCATGTAAATAAATAAAATCCACGAAAATTCCAAACCCTCAAAAGGACCAAGAATGTTGTACCATCATAGGCTGATTTATGTATTCCCTCACTTTTCTTCTCATTTTCCTTTTGCTAAACAACAATACATCAGCCAAAAGTCAATTAGGAGAAAAGCACAAGGCCAGGCCGAAACCTGGAGAGTAGGTCCCCGAATCTAAGTTCCATTCAGCCCCCCTCGGGTAAGCAGGCCTCACCTGAACAGGTCTTCTTATCGGCATTCAAGGCGTACCCTTGGCTGCACTCACAGTGGTGCTTGCCGTCCCCATCACTGACACACACGTGCTGGCACCCGTGTGTGCCAAGCATGCACGGGTCCACTGCTGTGCAAAGGAAGTGGACGACAGTCAGCGGACGACAGACACGTCAACATTTCAGGTACTTTCTCCCATGTCAAAAAGACATCGCTCTCTGGTTTCTTTCCGATTCCATCTTTAGTTCACTGTCAATTTTGATTATTTGTTTCTGCCCCAGCTAGAAATACCATCCTTAAACTAGTCATGTTACTAATTTTAAATCACAGATCTTATTGTTAACTTTCTGAAGGAGGAGGAGGAGGAGGAGGAGGAGGAGGAGGAGGAGGAGGAGGAGGAGGGGGAGGAAGGAGAAGAAAGAGAGAATTCTTATGGATCAGGCAATTGGATATTCATTCAACATATCCACCTACCCTTGAAAAAAAACTTTTGTTTTCCCAAAGCCAGAAACGGGGGAGACGGTCATGTGTTTCCTAAAGTTCTATGAGCTGACTGTCCCATTGCAGCTGGAATCTGGTTTCTGGGGGTTCTATAGTGTGTGTCCAAACAGAATTCATAAACAGGTGCGTTCATCTAGGCCTAGATGAACACTTGGGCATATATGAACTTAACATATATGTGGGGAATGGCAGTGCAGGTAACTGCCTTCTGAATAGGCAGCAAACTTAAACACACGCAGCTTCAGGGCCTCTGATATCAGTAAGGAGAATAAACTCTGTCGCTATAACACAAACAGGTAAAAAGAAAAAAACAAAATAAACTCGACTCTATCAGCTAAACTGCATCTCCATCTTTTCCCTTCTACAGCCATTTATAAGTCATTGGCTTTTTTTCCTAGTGAGCTGTTTTGGATGAAGACTCAGTGAATTTAGTCATTTCTGTTGGAGGGGGCTGGGACTCCTGGGGCAGGTAAGCAGCCTCCACTGCTTTGGCAAGAAGACAAGCCTAATATTTTCCCAAGAAGAGCCTTTTCATGGGATGATCTTTCTAGTCCGTGAACAACAACAAGCTGCTTTTGCTCCTCAGTCTTTTTTCCCCCAGAACAAGCAGGTCTTTTGTACCAGAAGGAAAAGATCGCCACTCACCACTTATTACTCTATGGCCTTCAAGCCCAACCCCCGGTGCTGGTTGTGAGAGCCAACTTTGCCACAGACCAACGTCTCTTTGGCAAGCTCTCACCCACCCACAAGCACAGGGGGTCTTCCTGGGAGAAAGACGGCCATTTTCCTTTGGGAAAACCAATAAATGCCAAGTAGATGCCACCAAAACCAACGATTGCTTGTGAGAGAGAGCCTAGTGTCCTGGGACAGGAAAGACAAGGGGATCCCAGCCAGGTCTGGCTGAGATGAGGCCAAGCTTAGCTCCAGACCAAGCTTCATCTCCTATTTCCTGACAGACTGGTGATGGCTGAGTTTCCCTTTGTTTAGATATAGAGTCTCCTTGAAATACACAGTTGTAATTATTACTTCACTGGTTTGTCTCATCCCCACCGCCGAACTACTGCTTGATGGTAGGGAGGGACAAATTTTATCTTTGTGTCATCGGTGGTCAATAAATGCCTGTTAAATAAATAAATGTGGAATAGGTTATACAGCAAAAAGTATCTACATTTTAAAATTCACCTTAACTAGAAATTTGTCTACCCCAGCTTGGGGACTTCCATAGAGGGCTCCAAAAGATTATCTCCAAATGACAAGAAATAATAATAATAAAGCATGATGATAGATATAGATGATAGATAGATAAAAAAATAAGTTTGAAAATAAAATAAAAAATATAGTATAAGTCCCACATTCATAATTCTGATCAGTGACTAAAAAACTCCAGCCGCGAATGGATTCAGATTCATGAATTTGGCTAATTCATGCTAAAAATTCCAATTTCAAACTCCATCCTAAAGGAAGAAATGAGAATGACAGTATCAGAAGGATTTTAAAAAACAAACAAGCCTGGCCGGTTTGGCCCAGTGGATAGAGCGTCACCCTGTGGACTGAAAGGTCCTGGGTTCGATTCCGGTCAAGGGCATGTACCTCGGTTTAGGCTCCTGGCCTTGTTCAGGGGCATGTGGGAGGCAACCAATTGATGTGTCTCTCTCACATCAGTGTTTCTCTCTGTCTCTCCCTCTCCCTTCCACTCTCTCTAAAAATCAGTGGGAAAAAATATCCTCAGATAAAGATTTAAAAATAAAAGAAATAAATTGTTATTGTTGAAAGTATTACAGATGTCCCCTTAAAAAATAATAATAATAAAATAAAACAAACAAGCCCTGCTCCTTCTACCTGTGAAGTGAGCTGAAATCCCAGTCTCCCTGATTCTTGACCCTGTCCCTCCATGAAGAATAGTCAGAGAAAGAAGTGAACATCCAAGCTGGAGCGTCACTGAATGTCCACTCTGCCTGCCAGTTACGCTGAAGCAGGCTGCCTGGCCCCTGCATGGACACACGCGGGCCCTGTCTTCTGCAGGAACAAGAGGAGTTCTGTAAACTCGAGACATGGGTAAACTAGAGAAAATATCGGGGGAAATGCAGGGGTGGGCAGGAGGGAGGAGAGCAGTCTTGTGTGTTTTATTTTTATTTTTCTCTGACCCCATCAGGGAACAGCATGATCATTTACCCAGGATTATTTCCAGACCTTCCCATTTCTAATGCAAACATGGAGATTTTAGGAGCAGTCCAAGTTATATAGAAGGCAGCTCTATATTCCTAAACCAACAAAGTGTGTTTAAGTTGGTTAAAAAAAAGACACAAAAAGCATTGCTTCTATTTAAGCTTTCCAGAAAATTTCCACCAAAAAAAAAAAAGAAAAAGAAAAGGAGAGAATTCTTTCTTTCTTCTGCTTCATAATGTTTGACTATAGCATCCTTGCTAGTGGCGACGACTTACCGCAAAAGGTTTCCTGGAACCTAGAGGAAAGTTTCTCGATGACCCCGTAGGTCTCCACGTAGAACACGTGCTCGTCCAGGGGTTCGCTGGCAATCATCCTGAGCGATTCCCTGTCCGCCCGGTCCACACCCACCGCATAGAGCTCAATGCCGGACGCCCGCGCCCGAGCCGCCACCTCGGTCACCTGGTCCTGGGGCCGCCCATCGGTCACGATGATGGCTACCTTTGGGATGTTGGAGCTGGGTCCCCGGGCTCCTGCCTCCACTGTGAAGGCTTTCTCCATGGCCGTTTGGATGGCCAGGCCCGACATGGTGCCCGTGGACAAGGGCGCGATTCGCCCCACGGCCTGTTTCAGGGATTTCTTGTCCAAGTGGGTCTGGAGATGGAACTCGATGTTCACGGTGCTGGCGTAGTTCACCACTGCCACCCGCGTGTCCGCTGCCCCGATGTCCAGGTTGTCGATTATCCGGGAGACAAAGGTTTTCACTTTGGTGAACTCCAAGGGCCGTACACTACGAGAACTATCGATGATAAACACCAAGTCCAGTGGTCGGCTCTTGCAAAAACCTGCAAGGAAGATGTGGGGAACAGAAGTGACTAAGCAGTGATCTGACCACAATCAGAAATGGAGCAATTCCTCACCCCCAGCTCTGAGACCGGAGGTCAGACAAGGCAGCATCCCCTACCTCCCAATGGCCCACTGTCTGCTACCTTCCCCAAGACCGTCTCCCTTTGGATGTTGAGAGCCCGTAGGCCTTCCGAATCCCCTGATGAGAATTCACACGAGGCTGTGAATTACATCATTTAATTTTCCCACTAGAGCAGTGGTTCTCAACCTTCCTAATGCCGCGACCCTTTAATACAGTTCCTCATGTTGTGGTGACACCCAACCATAAAATTATTTTTGTTGCTACTTCATAACTGTAATTTTGCTACTGTTATGAATCGTAATGTAAATATCTGAGATGCAGGATGTATTTTCGTTGTTACAAATTGAACATAAGTAAAGCATAGTGATTAATCACAAAAACAATATGTAATTATATATGTGTTTTCCAATGGTCTTAGGTGACCCCTGTGAAAGAATCGTTCAACCCCAAAGGGGTCACGACCCACAGGTTGAGAACCGCTGTACTAGGGGCTGGAAGTTGATGCTACTCTAAGGCTATCTACCCCAATATCACACCTGTAGGCTGGCTGAGCCCTTAAATTTCACTTAGAACCTCATCCCTTCACTTCAAGTTTTGTACTCAAGGTTCCTCTTGACTCCCAGGAACGAGTGGATTCCAGACCCTGCTTGGGCGCCTTGGCTACCTGAGGCCATGGGACAAAGTGTCCCTGAACAGTGTGCAAGGTGAACTGTCGGGGCAGCCGCATTGCACGCCACCCTGCCCACTCCCATGGGTGAACACTGCTCCCGAGCAGCTCTAGGTCTCCCTCTAGCTGGTCATTAATTCACGTTTAGTGCACTCAAGGGCCCAACTAGCCTGAGCTACGTTGAAAGTAGAAAGAGGGATGACAACTTCGTCTGATTGAGGCATGTTAACTGCACTCCAACTCTGTGGGTGTTTCTTTTTTTTTTTTTAAATATATTTTATTGATTTTTTACAGAGAGGAAGGGAGAGAGATAGAGAGTTAGAAACATCAATGAGAGAGAAACATCGATCAGCTGCCTCCTGCACATCTCCTACTGGGGATGTGCCCGCAACCCAGGTACAAGCCCTTGACCGGAATCGAACCTGGGACCTTTCAGTCCGCAGGCCGATGCTCTATCCACTGAGCCAAACCGGTTTCGGCGGGTGTTTCTTGTTTAAAGAAGCAGAGATTGAGATTTGGTACCAATCCCACGTCCCTATCAAACTCTTAGTCACCTCTCTCTCGTTTTTTCATTCACCAAAGTTTTTTGAGGGTGGGGAGAGGAAACACTTCCCCACTCCCCCCCACCCCCTCACCCCCTTCACCCCACCCGACCCCCACCCCGGCTGAGCTGCTGAGCCTAATCTAGGTCAGGAGGCTTAGAGAGAAGCCACTTATTAAATGTCTTTTTTCAAGTCATTCCTCCTTTTCTCCCAACACACACACACACACACACACACACACACACACACACACTCATCATACACACCAAGTCCTAATTAATGCCTTATCCCTGGACATTAAATGTCAATCAAAATTCTTTCCTTTCCTAATAGGGGCTGGAAGTTGATGCTACTCTAAGGCAATCTACTCAAGTGAGTGGGGAAAAGGTAGATTCAAAATAAATTCCTAGGCTAAGCATGGGACAGGAATTATATAACTCTATAGTTAAAAAAAAACTGAAAATTATCCTGCTGCCTGGAGGTATTCGATTAAGAAAATAATAATATCCAACTACCAATAACACTTTAGAGATCACAGGGTACCAACACAACAACCCTGTGAAGTCGGAGGTGCAGAGGTTGCTTTTATACCCATTTTACAGACAAGAAGCCTGGGTCTCAGGGAGGTGTAAGAGCTGGAAAGTGGTAGGTCATGGATTGGACTGCCAGCCTACGGGGCTTTTCCCTGCAGGGTTACCTCTCTGAGGCAACGTCTCCCATCACAAAAGTCAACAGTATCTCCTGTACCTGGTAAACATCCTGCTGCTCTGGGAGTTATTCTGCCGCATGAACCAACTCCTGACTCAAAGGGGAAACGGCATTGTTCCCAAGACCCCCCTAGCCCTGACTCCTTCCTTCTTGAACCTCAGTTTGCACCAGGGAGGGAAGGAACGCACTGACGCCCAAGCCGGACTCTCCCTCCCACCGCGCTCCCTGCCAGGTACCCCTCCATCCCCACCCGGAGCCTGGACAGTACCTGCAGCACCGGCCCCTCCGGGCTGCCCGGCCCCCGAATAGGGCGCGCGTGGGGGGACGCCTGGAGCGAGGCGGCGCCCGGGGCTGCCCCCCGGGCCATGGGTCCCCAACCTCTGGAAGCCGGGGCGGGCCGGGGGAGCGGGGACCGTGGGGGCTGCGGGGCACGGCAGCAGCAGCAGCGGCGGCAGCAGGAGCAGACCCGGGAGGAGGCGCCGCATGGTGTCCGCGCCGGGTGATGTCTCGCAGGCTCGGTTCGTCGGCCGGGACCAGGCGCACCGGCGGATTTAAGTCAATGGCCCGCGCCTGGACCAGCGGCCACGAGCGTGGAACCCCCAGCGGAGCCAATGACTGGGCAGCTGGGCCAGGGAGGCGGGGCCAGGCTTAAGCCTATGCCCGCCCCCGCCCGGCGGAGCCAATGATTGGGCAGCTGGGGCAAGGGGGCGGGGCCTGGGCCCCCACCACCTGGTGGCAGGGCCTCCGCTGGGTGGGCTCAGCCCTTGCCGCCCACTCTGAACCCTGGAGGGGCCAGTCCAGGGCCTCAGCCCGCCGGACCCTCCGCTCCCGCTCGCAGCCACCTGACCTAACCCCGGGCGCCTCGGGCGGTCCGCCCTCCCTCTCCGTGCAGCCCTGCCCCAAGTCTTCATCCTGCTCCCCACACTGCATTCCTTTCCCTGGCCGAGGGACCCACCTTTTGCGGTGGGCTCTCGGTTAAAAAAAAAAAAAAGCCTCAGATTCTAGCAGCATGAATAGCAATGCTTTCATCCCGCTTCAAACATCTGCACACTATTGACCTTACGGGGTGGGCAAAAGTATGCTACCCAGAATAGAATGGCAAACAAACATTCCCGGGAGGCCCTGCTGCTGGAGAAGGGAAGACAAGGCAGCCTGCTTCCGAAGCGCCCCCCCTCCACGCCCCTCATCCTAGTTCTTCTCCAGCAGGTGACCCCCAGATCTGAAATGTGTGGGTGTTTGACTTCAGGCAGGAGAGATTTCACGGCAGCGGGTATTTTGAGAGTAAGTTTATTAAAGCTGGAGATGGTGAAACAAAGGAAGGGTTTAGGATAGAAGAGGCCACATCACAGCAAGACTACCTCCATGGGACTACCTAGATGGGGTGCGGGGGGGGGGGGGGTCACATTAGGAAAAAAGGAATTTTCCATGACAGCACAGAGCTGGAGGCTGGCCAAAGGGAACTCACAGTCTCCTGGGAGAGAAGGGATAAAAGTGAGGGACTGTTGAGTGAGTCATAAAACATGACAAAGAACATGAATTCCAATGGAACCTTTCCTGCTTCCAGACTTTGCCCTTTAAAACCCACACTCCACACAGTAACCTTAAAGTCGCTTCTCTTCTTAAACCCTGCACCTTCCCTTCCAGGACAATCCAAACCATCTGACCCACTTGATAGCAGGCTCCAGGTGGGCAGGGCGATGCCTGCACTGTTCACTGCTGAATTCCCCTGAGTGCTACCTCACCGTGTGCAGGTTCAGTCTATGGCGGGGCTGAGACCGCAGGGAATGGAAGATGATCCACAGAGCTGATGTCTAGCTCTTCCAGGGCAGGCCCATGAGCCGGAATGACAGTTTGTTGAAGAAAACACCTGGCATTGCTTTTTCCAAGAATCTAAGACGCTGAGGAAATGGTTCTGCTGTTTCACTTCACTGCCTGGCAAGACAGCTCTGTGCTGGGCGGTGCCCCCTTCCTCTGGCCTCCTCCACCACCTGGCTCCTTCTCTGAAGTTCAGAGGGAGAAGCAACATAAAGTACTAATGGTCTGTTTCAGCACATTTGCATGTAGGCATGTGGAAAATTAAAACTATTTTGTTAGACGAGGGCATACATTATGGTTAGCTTTCTTTAAAAAGTCACACAGCCAAGCCATAAACTCAAAATGGATAAAAGACTTAAATGTACTGTAAGTCGCAAAACCATAAAAACCCTAGAAGACATAGGCAGTAAAATCTCAGATATCTCTCAGAGTAATATTTTTGCCAATACAGTGGGGCCTTGACATACGAGTGTCCCAACTAACGAGTTTTTTGAGATACCAGCTGTCTCTCGGCCGAGATTTTTGCATTGAGTTGATAAAGTAATTTGAGTTAACGAGCTCCTTAATGGTCTCGGAAGGCAAGGCACCACTGTACATCTCCTAGGGCAGTGGTCGGCAAACTCATTAGTCAACAGAGCCAAATATCAACAGTACTTCTTCAAAATAGACTCGCCCAGGCCGAAAACCGACTTCTGCGCATGGGCCACGAAGTTTCAATCACACTGTACGTGAGAGCCACACTCAAGGGGCCAAAAAGCCGCATGTGGCTCGCGAGCCGCAGTTTGCTGACCACGGCCCTAGGGTAAGGGAAACAAAGGAAAAAACTAAACAAATGGGACTACATCAAACTAAAAAGCTTTAGTACAGCAAAAGAAACCATCAACAAAATGAAAAGGGAACCCACTGCATGGGAGAATTTGCCAGTGATACATCTGATCGGGGGTTAATTTCCAAAATATATAAAGAACTTACACAACTCAACACCAGGAAAACAGACAATCCAATTTTAAAAATGGGCAAAGGACCTCAATGGACACTTCCCATAAAAGGACTTACAGTGGCCAAAAGACATATGACACAATGCTCAACGTCACTCATCATCAGAGAGATGCAAATTAAAACTACAATGAGCTATCACCTCACACCAGTCAGAATGGTTATCATCAATAAACCAACAAACAAGTACTGGTTTGGAGAGAGCCAGAGGGAAAAGTGAGGGGGGGAAGGGGGGAGGTGAGAGTGGGCAAAGGGGGTAGAGGAGTGGGGATGGAGAGACTTTGCTTGGGATGTTGGGCATACGATGCAGTGTGCACATGATGTTTATTGAGTTGTACACTTGAACCTGTATGGTTTTGCAAACCAATGTCACACCAACAAATTCAATTTAAAAATATGTACAATATATTTGTCTATAAGCTAGATGAGCATGTCACCACAGCTGCATTCTCAGCCAGAGGCAAAGTGGAATATTTTCAGGAAAGAACTTTAGCTGTGGCACCCATAAGCTGCAGTTTGCTTCTGCTTTCTCTTTGGTTCCCCTCTGGAGGTCAAATGATGCATTTCAACATGAACTGCTCTTGATGAACTCATAACCCAACTAAATGATCTCAACATAAAAGCAGAGCTTGCCACACTACCCGCATAATTTTTCTATCAAACCATTTATGTTAATTTATGACCTAAATTAACATAATATATATAGTCCCTATAACTTTAAATAATACTTCAGAGTCACTGGATTAAATAAATGCTTTATAATAAAAAAACTAGCATTATAGTCTCAAAGTATCAAAATCCATGGCAGTCTGAGTTTATTATAATGAAAAATGTTAGGTTTTATCTACCAAAAAGAGGGTAATAGACTTCTTAAAAATGACAACAGTAAATTTTAAGAAATTTATTAAAGCATCTTATCACAAAATGGAAACATACAAATTAGAAACATGCAACCGTCATTTCCATAGTCAAGTTAAAACATCATACAGTTTTCCTGTTTTCATAGCTGAAAACTTCAGATCTTATACCTAACTCATTCACCCTGAATATTTTATTCATTCCTCCTGAAAGTATCCAGGGCAGCAAAATAACCAAAATGCAAACTATTATATAAAGGAAGTGCAAAGTTAAAAAAGAAAATGTGTAGAGAGCACCCCTCCCCACCCCCCAATTAAAGGCAAACAATGGCACTTTGCTCTTGCTTAACTAGATTGTCTTCAAAAACTACTAAAATGTAATAGACTTAACAAAACAGAAAAACAACTGACTTCTAATAGATGTCCCAAAAGCTTGTTAGTGTTTGAAAATAAATGCTTACACAAAGGGAAATGTAGTTTATATCAAACAAGTTTGAAGAGCCCTGTATTGCAGCATTCTGTAAAATAAACACGACAAAAAGCTGGTATAGGGTTTATTGACAAAGGCAGGATGTCTTCAGGCGGGTATGTAAGGAGGCGGTGGTTCTTTTTCAGGCATCTTCACTGCCATTTCATAGGTCGGCAAAACGTACTGAAGAGAGAAAAAAGTTGTATCAGACTCAATTCTCCTTTAAAATCCTACTTGGAATAATTCAGCTTTCAGATTTTATGTCCTAAAAAGGGACACACAACCCCACAGAGAAGAGCTGAAGAAACTGCTAGCTACGCAGGGCCTGAGAGGAGAGATGACTAGTAACCTGGACCTTTAATGCAGACGAGACATCTGATCCAGAATGCGAGAGAGGGATGAAGGGAGGAGGGAGGCCAGGCGGGAAGGAGGGATGGAAGGAAGGGCAGAATTTTGCCTCTGAACTAACCCTGGGGGCTACCAAACACCTGGACAGGAAGCATGTGCCCCTGCTCTTCCCACCCTTCCCATGTGGCTGATCAAGTACCAACTACACCGCAGGTGGTTGCGGGTCCAGATTAAGGGCCCCAGTGATGATGCTAAAGGAAGCCTCCAATAAAATGCTGCGTCCTGAATTTCATCCTCATCTACAGTCAGAGGATCAGGTACTTATTTCTTCTGGGGTAAAGGGCACATCTATGTAGGAGAGCAGCATTCTAACCTACTGACTCCAAGTGTGATAGGCTGGCCTTACACGGGCCACAGAGATTCTACATGTTGAAAACCAGGAAAGAGTAGAGTAGCAACTAGAGGGCCCACGAGGTGAGCACCCCCAAAAGACTCGTGGAGCCCATCCAGTCATCTCCCCACAGAAAGTCAGCATCTCCTTTGGATCGTATACATGTTTTGTGAAAGCAACACAACTGATGATACCTCCATTCTCAAAAGTTCCAGAACCCACAAGCCTGGCATGGGTCACACTGCTGTTTCCTGCCTACTCTCCCCGCAGAATGCAATACTCTTAGGAAGCACTTATGAATCAAACCTAACAGCGAAACAGTAAGACTGGCAGTGCAGGCTGCCTTTCATCCATGTACCCAGGATTCCAACTGGGAAATGCTCAATCTTGTGGATTTAAGCTATTCATGCCCTAAACCACAGCATGACACTGCAGAGAAAGTCAAGACCCAGGTTCTTGAGAAGAATCAATAATGGCTGGTGAAGTTTCAATATATTGGAAGGTCATTCACCTGTGGAGGTGCTTCAAAGGCAGGGTACACAGCAATCTCTGGTGTGTTTCTGTTGTTGATGTATTTATAGCAGTTCCAAACACAGTTGATTAGATAAGCCTAAATGAATAAAAATAAAATTTACATATGCTGGAAGTCAACAGACTACCTGTTCTAAACTAAGGGGACTTCTAATGCTTCCCCCCACCGTTCTCC